ATCTTGTTTCTATAGAGTTTTGTCCTCCGGTTAGTGGGTAACTGGAGCTTATCCTAGCTGATATCAGTTAAGATTACCTTTAACTGAAAGCTGTTAAGTATCATTTAATCATATCAACTAGAAAATCTAAACAGGATTACAATTTCTTGTTTGATTGATTGATTGTAGACTGTTTAACAAATTAAAGTCCAACAATTGTAAAGTGGCCCTTGTATCCTTCCATTTTTTTTTTTAATTTATAGGCAGACCTCAAATGATAAAGTTTAGGCTGAGTGGGGTAGACCCCAGATTGTTTGCCAAGCAATTGCAGAGCAAATATAGACAAGCAAATATCCATCCATCTTGTTTCTATAGAGTTTGTCCTCCGGTAGTGTGTAACTGGAGCTTATCCTAGCTGATATCAGTTAAGAGGATGGCTACACTCCAAACTGGTTGCCAGCCAATGACAGAGGCTTTTCTTCATATTTCCATGGTAAATCCTGAAGCCTTGTCAGGGTGTCCCTGGTCATTTCAAGTCATGAGATTCATGTTGACACCTACAAAAGGATGCAGGAGGCCCCTGAGATCTATCCAGAGTGTTTGTTGTCACAACAAGGCCCAATCTGAGAAAGACAAACCAAAGGGAAACCCGCAAAGACGCCCTAAGATCACCCTATCTTTTTGTTTTTTGTACCGGGCAGGGCGTTGTCCAAAACCGATTAGGAACCGGGATGTGGTGACCCTCCGCTCGTGGCGAGTGACAGACAAGGAATACCTCATCATCAACTTCTCGGTCAAACACCCGGTAAGTGTTCACCATGCAAAACTGAAGTGATTTGAGTCCATTGAAAAAGTGAAACTTGTGTATAACAAAAATGCACTACACACAGTGTAAAATATTTCATTTTGTTCACAGTTTAGGAACTATATCACATGCTATATCAAAGCCTCTAATGGTAAAATTTGTAATGTCGATTAAGTCCACTAATTTTTATTTCAAGAGCACATTAAAAACATTCCACAGCTGAAACAAAATGACAATTGAACATAAAACATAAAAACGATTGATATAACTTCATTCAAAAACTATGAAAACAATATTTGAGTAGTTCCATTAAAAAAGTGAAACTTGTGTGTAACAAAAATGCACTACACGCAGTGTAAAATATTTCATTTTGTTCACAGTTTAGGAACTATATCACACGCTATATCAAAGCCTCTAATGGTAAAATTTGTAATGTAGATTAAGTCCGCTAATTTTTATTTCAAGAGCACATTAAAAACATTCCACAGCTGAAACAAAATGACAATTGAACATAAAACATAAAAACGATTGATATAACTTCATTCAAAAACTATGAAAACAACTAGGACACTACAGTGAGGGCTCAAGTATCATGCCGTGTGGAATGCCAAGAAATTAAAATGGATTTTAGGGTGTGTTTGAAAAATGCACATCAAAGGGGCTTGTGTTAGCGAGGAATTTGGGACTGGCAACAAAAAAATGCCTTCTCACCTCTGAGCTTTGGTACCTCCGTGAGGGGCTGAGCAAAACCATTTCGAGATTTGAAAACAAATAACAGAATCTTGAAATGCACAGGATGCCTGTGGAGGGGGACCAGAATTGGAGTCATGCGCTCCCTCTTACGTGTTCCCGTTGAGAGGCGAGCAGCAGCATTTTGAACCCACTGGACACGTTTGGGGGGGTTGGCGGGTTGGTTGGGGAACTGGCTGACTTCAAAGTAAATTGGATTGTGATAATCTAGCCGAGATATTGGACGCCCTATTAATCTACTGTGATGCATCCAACGAAGATTTCCCATTTAGACTGTGACACATTGTCCATTCCATTCCAGAAATTCCCTCCTCGCACTAACATGGTGCGAGCCGTTTCCATCCTCACCGGCTATTACATCGAGCCCACAGGGCCAAACAGCTGCAATTTCATTTATCTCTCACAAGCTGACCCCAAAGGTAAGATGGACTTTTCCAGCACCAATCAAACAAATTGGATTTTGTTTTTTTTGGTTTGTTTGTTTGTTCAGGACATGTATTTCCATATAAATTATCCATGTTCAAATATAACTGCTGAAGACTGAGAACGAGGTAGTGCTCAAGTATGGAGACACAAGATTAAACAGTTTTTCACCATTTAGTCTGATTTTTGGGGGCGGTGCTAAAATGGACCCGAATGACTTTGCACTAGGGCGTCGGGCCTGAGTACTCGTCCTGAGTGTGAAATAAATGAATAAATTGTGTGTTTTTGAGTGCAACTGTGACTTGCAGTTAAATAGCTCGCTACGCCTACACATGGACGTTTTATTCTTTGGATAGTGCACTGGCATGGCCACTTTCGGTCAGCCATGCGTGACCGTATGACCTGTTGGTCTTTGAAATGTCATACGAAAATCTGAAACTAATGACAGAGCAGAACAAACAGCAAAAGAATGACTGTTATTTTTTTAAATGTATTTTAAAATGGAATGTATTTAAATGTTAAGTTGAACATTTTGCACTATTTTTCTCTCAGGTTTTCTTCCAAAGTGGTTGGTAAACAAAGCTTCTGAAGTCCTGGCGCCGCGGGTAAGTCATGACACGAGCTGAGCTACATCAGGGGTGTTCAAAGATTTTTTTTTGCACCACAGACATAAAATGGTGCTTACTCGGTTTATGACAGTAGTCATGAACCACATTTCCCGGTTACCAGTAACGCGCAATGAACAGGTTTGCGAGCAGATAAATACAGGACAGGGTGTTCCAAAAAAAAAAAAGAGAGAGAGAGAGAAAGAGAGTTGAATAACTAGGCAATGACATGTCCTAGGGCAGGCAAACCAAATTACATAAGCTTTGTGTTGGGAAAAAAAAAGTCGATTTGTTCATGAATTTTTTCTGTGCTTCCCGCGAGTACAGTAGTTAAAATAAGTAAAAGTCAAAATATTTTTTAAAAAAAACTGTTTCCGTCAAACTTTTCCCTTCAATTGGCACTGTACTCGGGGCTGCTCATTCTGGTGTGTGTGTCTTGGCCACGGGGGGAAAATTTAAGGCAGACATTCTAATATATTATTCTCGAGAGTCAGCTAATTTTTCAGCTTCTCAGTACAGCAGTAATATTAGTTGTTCTCCACAGAGGATAAAGAATATATGCCTGTGAGTAAAGTTCTGTCTTTTAATGTGCATTGCACCATTGTTTGTGTTCAGACATCCGTTGCTAAAAGCATCACAACACTGTCATTCATCCACTCATCCAAATGCTAATTGTTAGCCTTGTTAGCCCGTATGCCTATGGTGTTTCCCGTTGTATGTTAACAAGAAGCTAGCAGAGGGCTATTTAGTTGTTTTAAGTAAACATTAAACCCAGTTAGTTTTTACACAGTCTGTTAAAACTTGAGATCATTTCAGCAGCATTTGGCTGTGTCATTACGCTACAAAATGTTGTCAACTTTGTGGGAACACTTTGGATATTAAATGATGCACGTATTTGCTCGGCTTTGTGGGCATACAGTCGTGATATTTCAACTTTTTAATTTTTTTTCCATGATGGGGGAGGGACTCAATGTGGCCTTATTCCTCCTGTGTTTGGTTGTGATATGATGTGTCAATGATTCGATTGCCCTCCAGATGTGCTTTCATTTGATTGTTTTTCATCTAAATTAGTGTTTCATAGGTGCGTGTTAAAAAAAAGGTTTCGTGTGTCTCAAAGGACAATGGTAACCATAGAAACTGGTTTGAGTAGCCTGTTCTGTTGAAGTCGCTGACAAAAGAGCTCTTGAAGTCTCAGCCGGTACAACTAGTTTACCCAGTTTCACACACACACGCACGCACGCAAACTGTGACGTGACTGTGCGCGCACGCTTGTAGGTCCATGCGTGTGTGAGCTTGTGCGTGTGCACGCGTCGAAAGTGTGTGTGCTGGAGTGTTTGTGTGCATGCCTGCGTGATGTGCGCTCGCGCGTGCATGTGGCAACGCTTGCGCGAGCACGCGTGTGCATTCGTGTGGGCGAGCACTTCTGAGAAATACATTGTTACCGAGTTTAAGTGATTTTTCGCCAATGAGACGTGACGGGTTACAAGGGCGTGCCTCGGGGAACGTTGACAACAAATTAGATGACGACAATGAGGAAATAACTTTTCTTTCGTGAGAAGCGACACGATTTGTCAGGAGGTGGCAAAGTCAGACCTGCGGGTCACAAACGGGCGGCCGGGCATTTATGAAGCAAGTTTTTAGATCGCATTTTTTTCACCAACTGCCCATTTAAAAACAAAACATTTTCCTACGCCTGCCATAGACAATAGACAAACATATTTTTCATATTTTCACCCCCCCCCCCCCACTGGTCGATCAAAACCGCCTCTGTGCATACCGAAGTAAGCTGTTGCCACAAGGAGGTGAATACAATCATGCAGTCGTTGAAGAGTGTCAGATACTTATTCATATCTGCTGCAATTATGAGGTTGCCACGGAGATGCTGCTTTAAATTTCATCAAGCGATGACAAGCATTGTGCTGAGAAACACTTTTCAGACTTAACCACCGACATAGAAACTAAAGGAAAAAAATTGACTACTCCATCTTTCGAGCTGAAAACACATTTAAAATTAGTAAAACACATTTTTTTAAAGCATGTCTTCGCACCAGTTTTTACTCTATTGCTTTCCGGTGATTATCATCTTACATTACTTAGAGGGAACGTAAAGAAGACTGGCTCGCACAATTCTCCAAATAACTATGAGTCAAACAGAGTTGAAGAATTACACAACTAAATGTTCAAGCCTACCAAACCACCGTCAATCATTCCGAAAGTCCATTAGCTTAATGCTAACATAGAATGCGAAACACCATAAACGGGCTAATCGAAATTAGCCTCAAAGTTACGTTAACATACAGAGCATCACTTATAAGCAGAGTAGACAGCAATTTATGAGTGAACCTGCTCTGCGTCTTCTTGCTCTTCGTCGTGCTGCCTCTCTTCCAGTAGAGCTTCGTAGCGTCCGGCATATTGTGGCGCAACGTGATGCCACACAGAAGGCACAAACCGTTAAATTCTGACTTCTCTGTATTGTTAAAAAAAAAGAAACAAAATCATACAAAAAGATGGCTTAAAAATCTGCGATATTATACGGTATAAATCTAGCTACGGTATTTGTATTTACATACCTGTGACTTCCATGATACTTTTTGTCAGTAAGTGTTGGTCTTAAAATGAATTATCATTGCCCCACCACGTCCAGGTGCTGAAATGCGTGCACGATGCGGGGAAGCAGTATCCCAAGTGGAAGGAGCAGAACAATCCGGATAACAAGCCGTGGCTGTACCCCGAACAGTGCAGGCTGCCCCGGATGAACCCGGCCGAACTCGCCATCCAGCGGGGCGACTCGCTCGAGAATGTGGACGAGAGCGCCATGCTGGATGAAAGTTTACAGATGTCGAGGGACAAAAAATGACCCTCACAAATGACGTGTTTACACATTTTGAAATCACCTCAGGAAGTGCTCAAATAAGCTAAACGTGTTTTTTTCCCTTTAATAAATACAGTAGCACACCTGTTGGGCAATTTTGTAGCACAAAAAAAAAAAATCAGGCCTTTTTGTTGTTTTCGTGTTTGAAAGTTCATCGTTTGAAGAAAATAAAAACATGTTTTTTTAATATTTTTACTTTTGGTGGCATACTTCCTTTTTTTTAGTGCAATTAAGTAATTGTATATAGTTTTTGTTTTGTTTTTTTTGTACCATGTTATTTTAATACCTGCTTACCTGATGGATAGAAATGTCTTTCATAGCTCTGTTGTATTCATTTAACCTTTACTATTGAAGAAAAGAAATGAAGCCTGGTGCCAGACGGATTTTTCTGATGATGTTAAGATGATGTCTGCTTGTGAATTTTGGGGGGAGAAAAAAAAAAAGACCACATAAAAAAAAATAAATAAAATTTGGTTAAAAACAAGATTAAGTTTTGTCGTCTTTGCTTTTTCCATGTGTGACTGATTAGCGCGTCCAGCTCACAGTGCAGAGGTCATGGTTTAGATTCCGGGTCCTGGCTTTCCTCCGTGGAGTATGCACGATGCCCCCATGCCTCCATGGGTTTTCTCCGGGTACTCTGGTTTCCTCCCACATTACAAAAACATGCACTACCCAAAGTCAGCTGGGATAGGCTCCAGCATACCCTCGACCATTGTGAAGATAAAGTAGTTCAGATAATGGATCGATGGATGGATGTTTTTAACAATGATTTGGAAATCATCCATCATCCTGATTACTATTCCCACATTCTTAATCGAGGGCTCCTATTGGCTACTCATGAAACAATCAAAGTGCTTTTCCATTTTTTGGGGGGTATATTTTGGGAATACTGTACTAAATACTCTGTTAAGAAGTTTGGGGGTCAATCATAAATGTCCTCTCTTTAAAATAAACCTTATTCATCTTTTTTTTTTAACCACAAATATGAATTCTTACATTTTTTTTCATTACTTCAATGTTATCTTAATTAGCGGGTGAAACTGGTTTTCTTTCTAAAGCAAACGTCCAATTTTTCAGTTACGTAGGCAATAGATTTCCAAATTTCACACCAATGCGAACACTGAATCCACAGAGAAAGCTGACTTTTGAAAAATGATTTTATATATATTTTTAAAAGGTACAGAGGAAAAAATCATGACATGAGGGTGAGAAAAGTGGCAGGAAAGAAACGGTGCTACCGCAATCTTTCAAAAATATCCAGTGGCGTATCAATCAAATCCAACATGGCAAATCATAAATACTTATAATTATGTAGTAAGGCTGTCATCTATTTACAATATGTAAAAACTGCATGTACAAGAGTGTCATTCTTGACATATTGGATGAGTTGACTTTCACAGAAAGCTCCTGCTGTCTTTATTAGTATTTTTTTTGTTGTGTGTGGTACCTTGATATTTACATTTCACACACACACACACACACACATGCATTTCTACCTAGATTAGCCGATATTTCTGCACATATGAGCTGGTCTAAAACTGCACATCTCTTTGACTTAAAAGCCTCGTTAAAGTGACGCTCTATTGACTTCATAGATTTGTGTGAGTTCAGATATGCAAATGAGCTACATGAACCGCTCCAGTGAAACTGAGTCAGTGTTAAGATGACTGAGCAAGGCCGTGAGTCACAAAAAGTGGGTTTGTGTGTGTGTGTGTGTGTGTGTGTGTGTGTGTGCGTGTGTGAGGGTCAATGGCGTCACAGCGACGCATCACGCACAGTCCTTCGTTTCTGGCTCTCTGGTGCCACCTAGTGGACAGTCCTCTCCTTCTGCCTCTGGTAGTCTGAAAGGATTACAATAAAACTTAAGTCATTAATTTGGAACACTGACGATTAAGATAATTGTATGACAGTTACCACAACGGTCATTATAATGCACTGAATATAACAAAGAACGGCTACACATGGGTCTTGCATACAGAATAAATCCTGAAAAGCAGGCTCAACTGTTATCATGCAAGTGCAGAGTTAATTTTGCGATTGACTTATTTTGTTGATTCGGTATAATACTTCTGAACGTCATCAGTATTCATGTCAACTATTTTAGTGTTTTGTGTCAATTCGCATTTCTCATGCAAGTTCATGCACTTACATTTTTGAAAAATAAATCAAATCTTCAAAATGCAGATTTGTAACTTCTCTGAGGTGTGAGACATGTCAGACAACTTACTGTAAGGGAAGAAGCGGACCCTCATCAGGATTTCGCGTGCGGTCTTTAAAATATCCACAGCCTGAAAAGGCACACAGACACACACACACACGTGGACATTTGTGGTGATAGTGAAAACTCTGCCTCATGCAGACAGTTCATTTGCGACACGGTCAATGATGTGGCGTGCCATTTTTCATAGATGTCGCATCAAATGATGACGTTGAGGAGTCCTCAAAACATTAAAAATCCTATAAAAACTTTTGCCACTTCATCCTGACTCTTTATGTCTGTCAATCTCTTCTGGCGGGAGGTGCTTGCATGTAAACAGAGGAGCCTGCATACTGTATTGCAACGTAATTTGCTTTCGTGCATAAATACATTTACATAAAGGTGTCGAACTCCGGTCCTCGAGGGCCACTATCCTGCATGTTTTAGAGGTTTTTATCCTCCAACACAACTGATTCAAGTTATCAGGATCCTGCAAAGCTTGCTGATGAGCTGATTAAGAATTAAATCAAGACCAACTTCTGTTACTGCTAAGAGGTGAGGTCTCATCTGTCTCTATGTGTACCCGTATGTCTGTCCTTTACTGCCGCCCGGTGGCCAAGGTGTGCTATTTCTGTTGTTAAAAATCACAAGATTTTTGTTGTTTTATTGTGGGGGTCAGGGGGCGTAAAGGTTTAACGGCATGTTTATTCACTTCAGTGGACAACGATAATTTGGGATGAGCGTTTTGAGTGGCCACGGAATAAATTAAACAAAATCACGCAACCACCGTAATTTTTTTTCCATGTTCGTTCAATGAAATTAATGTCCCTCCCCCATAGGAGAATATAAGAACATCTCTATCATGCCAATGGTTGAACAAACATCTTAAAAAATATAAATATATTTTTATAGTCTACTTGAGCTAGGATGTGGTAAGATTTTAAGAACAGTTAGGATTATATCCGGGGGTTTTTTATATGACAGTGGGGAATCATCTCCTCTTGATCACAAAAAACAGCAGTTCCACGTATTTCTTCGATCAAGCAAAAAAGTGCGACTTACTCTGGAATGTTCAATGTCTTGGAAGTCCACCTCGTTGACGGAAAGAACTTGGTCTCCTTCCTGCAGTCCTGCTCGGTGGGCATCAGAGTCTGGAACCACCTGATAACACACACAGAGAAATGCAACTGCCAATAAATAAATGTTATTAAGTTCAGTTTTAGGATGGGGATTTTTTTTTTCATTTTTAGCAGCTTCCATAGTTCAAATTTCGACGCGATACATCAACCTGAAGGAACTGTGTAGAAGACTTGAATTGTGATCCAATTTTGAGGGACAAAAGTTACATTTGGACGATTCTGTTTAAAAAAAAATTAGTTTTTTTTTTTTTTTTTAGAGCCTACCCTACATTTTTCATTGAAAAACATATCTGCACTTTCTGAAATGCCCACAACATGGCACAAATGCCTGTCTAATAGAAAAGTAGTTTTGCTTACCGCTTTCTGCACACACATTTGAATGAATGTTTACATATCAAATCATCTTTGACACATTTATTTTAGGGGTAATGTTATAAGATGGCTTTGAAATCCTATTAAAGTGTTTTTTTTGACCGTAGTTGGTGGTAGTGGGTATTCTTGTATCTGTAACAAAATCTTATATACCGGTACATACATTTTGGGAGAGGGGGGCATTTGAAAAGGCTTCATTAGTTTTGTTTTTATATAAATAAAACAAAATTACAGCAAATTAAGACTTGTTTTGAATCATTACATTGTCATTAGCTTTTTTCATTTTATTGAAGGTTGAAAAGAAAATCTTAAAATTGAAATGGGATTTTTGTGACAAAAAATCTGAATTTCGAGTTGAAACCCATATCGCTTAGCCTTGTGCGACAGTGAAACACACACATACCTTGGATATGAAGATTCCCAGCTGCGAGGCCTTGCCACCGCGGATGTTGAAGCCCAGCTGCGCTCCCGGAGGTTTCTTCAAGACCACGGTGCGAGGGAGGAACTGGGTCAGCTCATTGTTGTAGTCGGGGTGGCGTACCCGCTGAAACAACACCAAATTAAAAACTGTTAATTATGATGCAAAATTGACTTAGAGGTCATTTTCCACTGCAATTGCTGTACGACACTGTGTATATGTTATATTATATTGTATTAGAAAACCTGTCTTCAGTAGTGATTATTTTACAGGCTTGCAAGTGTACTAACATTTGTAACTTGCCTCTTGAGGAGGAATCCATGCTGGTGGGTTCTCATAAGAGGGCAGGAAGACCACAGGGAGCTGGTAGTCATCATAGGGAATCTTCTGATCCATTGTCACTGCACACACGTAAACAAGTACAATTACACAGGCACACACTCACACACGGTTCAAAACACAGAATGGATTAATTCGCATTTCAAAGTTAAGGTTTTTAAATTAAGGTTTGTGCTCAAGGCCAGAGATTGGGTTTCAAGTGTGTCAAGCTTCTTCCCTTCATCCCCCTTGCTTACTTCAATGAGGCAACTTTTAAAAGTGTTGGTCTCATCAAGTATGGAAACAAGTGCAGACGATCGAAAGATACACAACGCCCTTTCATCACATTGTCAGCTAACAGCTACATTAAATGACAGGTCCACTCAAAAGTGGGAATTTGATACTTTTGCAGTTTGGGTGAAACACGAACGAAACAAAATGAAAACATTGTCGTTTCACTTGTAAACAAGACGACAGATTGCGCTAAAGTTAGCGTAGCGGCTAGCCGCGGCTGGAAAGCAACGTCAAACGGACCCACTTTGTCGCAGTAATCACACGTTGATTCACTAGTATAATCCTCAGAAAATATACAAGGACCTACAGCAAATACACTTTAACCGTTCAAGACGAAGACAAGCTATAAAATTAACGTTTCATCTCACCAAACGGCTCTACCACTGAGAGCCCACCACTGCTTCTTCTTTTTACGTTACAATCGGCCATCGCGCTTAGTATTGCCCCCTGTCGATTGGTGAGAGAGTTGCATGAAGCTTCGCCTGTGTCCTGTTTAACCCACCGCAGTCCACGGGTCGAAACAGACGCGACACGCCTTCGAACTGCGTGCCTACGGCGATGATACGATAGTGCAGACCTACGTAGTCCCAGACATGACATTTAAAAAAACACTTTGTGCACATGTGTAACTTATGTATGCACGAGGAACTATTTTGTGGGCACGAACTAGTGAGCGCATGGACTACTACATTGTGTGGATAGAATAGTTAGAAAGTACACACGAAGTAGTTGTTCCCGCGCATTAAGTAGTTAGTGCGTGTGTGCGAAATAGCTGTGGCTCCTTGCGGCTCACTTGAATAAGAAAATTTAACCCGCCTTCTTTCAAAGTTGAAAGGTCGAAGGAAAGCCACGTATTGGACAGAGACAGCGGGATCGAATTTTATTTTAGGCACGGGATGAGTTACAAGGACCATGAAAAGCTTGCAAGGAATCGCTATCACCGAGAGACGTTTGAATAGGCCGTTGAGAGCCAGCTCGTTTCACTTCGACTTGGACGACGGGATCGATTTTATTGTTCAGCAACTGCAATGCTAAGAGAGGGATCGTGGCTGCTGGTGGATGTATAAGAAATAAAACTTTTGGTCATGCTATCAGAAATTAATGTTAGTATAAAATAAAAATGTCAGATGCAAGAATTTATGGGGTTTTAAAGGCACTCATTAGATCAGGGAAAAGCGAGTCAGAGAAGGTGTGCTCGATTTTTTTGTCTTCTTCTTATGGAGTGTCATGGCGGTTGGTAAGAAACCTTCAGGTCCATTACCGCCACTTACTGGTAAGGAGTGTGAACCAGGTATGCCGCTAACCTTTTCCTCTGAAAACACACGCACACAAAACGTTATGTTATGTTATGTTATGTTATGTTATGTTATGTCAGAATATAACTTGCCTTCTTTGAGATTGCATCCACGTTCTTGTTTCCCTCCATGCCATCCAAAGCTATCATCAGCTTTCATTATCAAAGAATATGGCTACAATACTCTCTCTATTCACTTGCCCCTTTCTGACTTTGTGCTCCAAACATATGACTGGATCCAAAATATCCCTTCCTCTTCTAAAACCACTCTGACATACACTTCGATACCCATTCTTTTCACAAAAAAATACATCAGCCTATCGTTCTCATTTATCATCCTTTCCATAACTTTCCATCAATTGGATTTTGATGCTACTGGCCAATAATTTCCTGGTTTTGGAGGATCTTCTCCTGCTTTTGGAATTAGAATTATCACCGCCTCTTTCCAACTCTCTGGCAAGTTTCCTTCTTTCCACACTCCATTATAAAATTCAACCAAAGTATCCCAAGACGCTTCGCTCATCTGCTTTATCATTAGATAACATATTTCATTCTTACCAGGTGCATTCATTTTAGTCTTTGACAGTGCTTTATTAAGTTCAGCTCTTGTGAAAAGCTTAAGAAAATGTTTATAGGCCGATCTTGTTGCCAGCAGTCCTCGTCCTTACATCATGGAAAGTCTTTCGATATTTATGTTATGTCCTTGTTTGTCGTAGCGGCTTGCTATTGCAATACGAGTGTAGCCTGTACTACTGGAGACAAATTCCTTGTGTGTTTTACATACTTGACCAATAAAGATAATTCTGATTTTGATTCTGATTGTCACAAATATATCCCTGAAGAAGGTGATTTTCAGTTGCTACTTTGTTTTCATGAGTAAATGAGAGTTTTGTTTTTCAGTGTATTAATTTTGTGTTGCTACTTTTGAAAAAAAATATATTCAGGAACAATGTATTTTTTTGGTGCTATCTCTGCTCCCTGGGTCCTGGACAGTGAAAAAGTCACAAATGTTACTGAAGTTAGGGCTCTTTAAATGTAGTGAAAATGCATCAATTTCTTCCTGTCTCAAGGCATTCATGGGGAGTGGAGGAACAACTAATTAATAATTACGATACAGGTGAGGCAAAAGTATGCACCCGTTGACACTGACAGCTGTGCACAGCTAGTACTACTTGCAAAGCACTAGACCCGAACTAGGAGAATGTATGTCACGAGTAATGAGTCTCAAGTGTCAACCCTCAAGTCGCAAATACTGTGGCAAAAATGAAGAAAGTCAAGTTGAGTTGCTTGTAAGCACTGAGCCAAACTTAACTAATGCATGGCTTGAAATCATCAAAGCATGTTTTTTTTTGGGGGGGGGGGCGGGGGGGGGGTTAACCATTGTGCCAAATTGTCAAATGGGGATTGTATGTAATTTATACCAAAAAAAAAATCTTGCAGTATTTTTCGTTTGCACTCACTGTGGTGACCCTTGACAGTCCCAACTTTTGGACTGTGTCCTTCAATTTTGAAGTGAAGAGATATCGGTGCTTCTGCTACTCGCAGACTTTTTTTTTTTTTTTTTTTTAAACACAAGTTTCTGTATTTCTACTTAAGTATACAGTGTCATTTTTTTTTTTTTTTTTTGCACAGTCTGGTTTAAAAGAGCCCGAATGGTCTGGTTTGACTGGTTTGATAATTTGACTCATTAAATGTGAGGTGTAATTAAAAAAAAATCACTATCTTTGCGATCCTCCCTCCCCCACCTGCCTTCTAATTCCGTTTTGGGTTACGTTCCACCCTCCCCAGCCTGCGCTATTCATCGGCGACTTTACATTCTTTTCACGGGTGCACTCAGTCCTAATGCTGAAAAACACAGACGGCACGGACACTTTTTGCATTCTGCATAAAAGCCCAGTGGGATTTAATGGTGAGTACACGCCATACTCAACTTTTAAAATTATCGGAGGGGGAAAAAAAGAATAGAAAGGCTGCACATTTAAAGATCTGTTCAGACATGCATGTCATGCGTTTGTTATCGGATTATCTTCGAGACAAAGACCTCGATGATGTCTCCTTTGAATGATTCACATTCTTGAATGTGTCAGAGAACAATAATGCATTGTTTAATATTGATTAATGAGCAATTTTATGTGTAATCTCTTTTGTTAATGTGCTATTTTATTAGGTACAGGATGTTTATGTAGGAGAACATGATTCCTATTGTACTCATATTTATGCACGCTCATTTAACTCCACTTTATTAAAAATGTAATTCCATCTATAGCCAGATTCTTTCATTTTCCACTTTTACCCAATAAATTAATGCAAATAAAGTAACAATATAGAAAAGTCATTTTTAAGGGATTTTTAAAACGATAAAAATGCAAACCTCTGTTTGAAGTTGGATTTTTCCTTGACAAAAATGAAAAATGGCTTTTGAAATGTATTTGTCTTTTAATACAACCAAACAAGAAAAGCAATTTTATTGAATAAAAGATGGTATAGAACTAAAATAAACCTGACATAAGGAGCTACATGCGTTACATTGGACAACACAAGTTAATGTCTTATCACAAAAAAACAAACACACACACAAAAAAAAAACATCAGATGAAATATCTGGTAACATGAAATGATGTATAATTTTCATTTGGCAAGATTCATTTTCCCCTTTTAAATCTCAAAATCAAGAAATGAAATTACATTTCTGTATTTTTTTTTCAGATAAGAATCTAAACTTTTCAGTCACCATTTTTTAAAGTAAATACAACAAAAATGTAAAGTAAAAATGCAAAGACAGTTATTTTGTAGAGTTTTTAAACAAAGAGATGTATGATTTTAATTGGATTGCCACAAATAGTTTTTATTAAAACCTTTTGATCCAATAACTTAGGAAAGACATTCTATTGTTGGGGATAAAAATGATATGTTCAAAATTTGAATGATAAAAAAATGACATGTTAACTCTTTATGATGATACAAATGTTCTATAAAGTGCTTAGTTACAGCTGTAGCTGTTGTGAAAGCACTATATTGATAAAGATGTATATTGTATTGGATTGAATCTAAACAAATTTACAAAAAGGGAGAACACAGAAGTACGAAAACAAAACCAAACTAGAAGTGCTTCTGCAAAGCGGGAAAGAAGCACCGAAGACGAAAGTCACAGAACAGAAGTACTTCAAAACATAAAGAGACTGACATAAATAAGACAAAAATATCAAAGCACTGGCAACCATCAAAAGGACAAGTGACGCAACAGACCGACACCGCGGCAACACCCAATTAGCAGCCACTGCCGATTGCCAACCAAAAAGGTGCACACCCAGTACACTATTGTTTTCCCACTTTATCAAAGACCCCTTTGTGATTGTTTGGAATAGTCAGCCCAGCTCCTGCTGTCCTCTCCGCTGTGTCAGTGTTGTGATATCAGCGTACACTCTCAAAGCTCCAGTGCAGTTTTCATTGTAAGTTAAGTCAGTGGATCTCTGCACAGCCAACCTCGATTGATGGCGTTATTGAGCCTGGATCGCCTTAATGCAATTAAGGGCT